GAAGAATTGATGCTTTTGAACTGTGGTATTGGAGAAGACTCTTGAGAGTCCCTTGGACTGCAAGGAGATCCAACCAGTCCATCTTAAAGGAGATCAGTCCTGGGTTTTTCATTGGAAGGACTGATGTTAAAGCTGAAACTCCAATACTTTGGCCATCTTATGCAAAGAACTGACTCCTTTGAAAAGACCCTGATGCTGGGAAAGATTGAAGGCAGGAGGAGAAGGATGAGATGGTTAGATGGCATCACCGACTCATTAGACATGGGTAAACTCCAGGAGTTGGTGATAGACAGGGAGGCCTGGTGTGCTGCAGTCCAGGCTGACTGGAGTCAGACGCAGATGAGTGACAGAACTGAACTGAACTGAAGAGTGTGGCAAAATGAAACAATGATTCCATGATCCCTAATAGGCATTTTTCTAATCTATCTTCATAATGGGGAAATAGTCCATCACTGGCAACCTGGTTTTGTGTCCTTGTTCAGTAGTTAGTCACTCTAGACTTTCCCTTGCCAGTGAGATATGAAGAAGGAAACATGATTTAAGATTCTTCTGAGGAATCTGAGCATTAGGTAACTTGTGGGCTCCAGGGTATAGTCTGAGTGGAGATGGAGTGTCAGTGTTTTCAAAACCCTTTGAAAGTAGTGAAAATATTAGTTGCTCAGTGGTGTCCAACTGTTTGTGACCTCATGGACTGCAGCCCAGCAGGCTCCTTTCTCGGTGAAGCTCTCAAGGCAAGAATACTGCAGTGGGTAACTATTCCCTTCTCCAGGGGATCTTCCTGACCCAAGGATCGAACTCAGGTCTCCTGCATTGCAGGCAGACTATAGTCTGAGCCACCGGGGAAGTCCTAGATCTCTGTTAAATCTATCCTTTAGTAGATATCCAGAAGAATCATCCCTCCTCTGATCTGTGGAGCGCTGCTCTGGCCCAGGGGCTTCCCAGGTGGCACAGTGGTAAAGAACCTGCCTGCCAATGCAGGAGACATGGGTTCAATCCCTGGATGGGGACGATCCCCCGGAGGAGGAAATGGCAACCCACTCCAGTATTCTTGCCTGGGAAATTACATCAACAGAGGAGGCTGTCCATGGACTAGGCTACAGTCCATAGCTTTGTAAAGAGCTGGACATGACTGAGCAACGGAGCATGCACCCATGCCTGGTCTTCCCCGGTGTTTTTCTATACTTGTTCACTGCAGGGCCCTGGGGAACTATAAACTCAGCACTTTTTAGAGTCTATAGGAGAATATAACAGAGATCCAGAGCCTCCATCAGTACCTTGACTAAATTCAGAAAAATTCCTATCCTCACCTTGACCCAAATTGTCCACCAATTGTCCTTTTCTTTTCATGGAGAAGGTGTTTATGTTAGTTTTTGCCTAAGGGCATGGATTCATGACTAGCATAAATTATCCGGAACTCTCTAGAAGCTGATCCTCTTTCTTGAATGAAGAAATAAATGCAATTATGTCTGTGTAACACCAGCCACTTTCGTAAAGCTTGGTGCTACCAATTCACCTTTCTTTCAAGGAGCTTTATAATAGTGTTGCCTTAAAAGCAAACAAGCAAAAACAAGACCCACAGCTTTTCTCCCCTGTTGATTAAACATACTATTACACTCACCTGGCCTAAGAGATTTCTGCGTGGCCGATTTTATAAGAGGACTCCAAGCTGTCATTTTGTTTAGAACAGTTTATTTCTTAGTGGAATCAAAAACCATCAGTGTCTTGTCCACTCCTGTTAACAGTGAATGGGTGACGTGAGGGTGGAAGTCAATCTTCTTCAGACACGCGTGGTAGCTTTTGGTTAGCAGCCAGGCGTGCGTTAGCTTCACAAATCTATGAATCTTCTTTTTTTTTTCTGTTCGCAGATTTTATTCTTCACCGTACAGTATTGCAACCAACCGCATGATTCCACAGACATCCATCACGCCATTCATTGCTGCTTCCCCTGTCTCCACATATCAGGTATGTCCGATTTACCTACACGCCCTGAGAGGCCTTTCTTGCCAGGAGTAGACTATCTCAAGTCAAAAGGGACACCGTAGAGTTTTTAAGTTGTCTTCCCTTTGGTCACATCTTAATGTCATAATATTCAAGCTATCCATTGAGCCTACACTTTCAAGAGCTTGTTTGCATCTGTCTCACTGAATTATAAAAATCCACTGTGCTTGCATCCTGCCTGCTGAGTTTTCGTGATTTTGCTGCTTTTCAGCCAGCATTAGTACAGCTTTCTGACCACTGGGAGGTGACTTTGTGTGTTGTCTGTTATTTTGGTTGTCACAGTTCCCTAGTGTAACTTTTCTGAGAACACATTTCTGGCAACTCCCTGCACTCCTTTAGGATGCTGGATCATTGTCATCTCATTTTGTGACAGTTGTTCTGTGTATCCATGGAAAACTACATGGATGGCTGCTAGATCATTGGCTCCAAGAAATAGGGAAAATCATCAAAGGGGTAAAAGTAATTCCTCCTTCCTCCTCTTACTTCATCCTCACTTCCAAAGAGGCCAGAAGAGACCTCAGGGGTTCCACATGTTGAAACACAAGAAGATCTGAGACTCAGTGTGTGTCCTAAACCAGATGTTGTCGCCAGTTAACGTTAAGTGCACAGGTAGAAAGAAATAGCCATCCTTCCCCTCAAGCAGGGCTCCTTATCTTATGCCTTTGAGTTATCACGAATATTTCTCCCTCCTTCTCTTTACCTCATGTAGTTCTTTAGACAGTTCTTTTAATTCTCATGAGAAACAAAATTGCCTATGAATGCTGTCTAGAGTGTCGAGTGGTGTTGATTACAGCTTTGGAGATAGAGAGCGAGAATGTGTGCATGAGTGTGTTTCCTTATGCATATGGTGGGGGTGGGCGTGGGGGTTTGGGGTGGGGGTTGTGATGTTGCTGATTGCTTATGAATTCAGTGAAGTTTCACGTTCTTCATTCACTACCTATGTATGTCATGTCAGGAGGTCCCCACTGTCAGAGCATCACGCTTGAGACTATGCACATTTTTCCTTAACAGATCCCCCTCACTCCGAAGCAGATCATTTTCATTCTGTGTCTGCACTTAGGTTCTTGATACATGGCGGTGGGTGAGTGGAATAGACTTTTGTGTGGATTGCATTAGAGGGTCTCTGGATGGCTGATTTCTTAAATGCCTTTCCTTGGGACCCATGAGGCTAAGTGCAGATGCTGTTCAGTTTTTTTTTTTTTTTCTTCCTACAGGCCTGCCTAGTTGTAATGTGTGCTTTTTGTTTTTTTACCCATTTTTTTCAAATCTTGGCCTCTGTTTCAGCCAAGACCACCCACTGAGCCCCATTGTAGTGCACTTTGGTGTCCTGAATAAAACCTCCACAGAGCTGTCATTTCACTTGGGAGGGCCCACAAGTGGAATTTAACGCCAGCTCTCTTTTCTCAAAAAGGAATTAGAGCAATTTCCTACGTTGTTGATTCTTGCTTTTCACCACTTTTTTTTTTTAATCTAAAGTTCATCGGCAGTCTCATTGATGTGAGTCTACTGAAAACAAAATCTTCAGGGCTATCTATGTCACAATCAGCTCTTAGAAGCTGACTTTCTCATTTGGCTGATGGGGAACATTCAGAACATTTTCCTGGCTCATGCACTCATTTTTAGTAACCATACCAATTACTACAAGAGAGAAAAATCACAGACTTACTTAACTTGGGTTTAACCCAAAGCATTCCCCCAAATCTCTCTAATTCATTCCCCAACTTTTACCACTTGGATTTATTTCCAAGATGGGATCACTTGAGAATTTGAGGTTAGAACCAATGACAGAAAAAGAGGAAGTCTTAGCAATCATGCTAAGTAATGCTTCCTTCTTTATTCGCCTGGGTCTTCCAGGATGTTGACCTCCAAACAGCAGATCCCTGAAGCCTCCTAAGACTTTCGTCTCCAACACCAGCCTCCAAATGTGCCCATGTGGCCATTACCGCCAGCTGCAGTGAAGTAGGAATTTGCTTTCATTCTACCATGTTTCAGGGACCAAATGAATCAGGTCCAAGAGTTTCCTTTCTATCCTTAGTTTTGAGCACTGATTTGCTGTAAGTCAGATGGACTCCACTTTCTTATGACCTAGTGTGACTCCACTGAACGCAAGAACCGAGTTCTCTCTGTGATTGCTTTGTGCTAATAAATGCTGTTTGATGCATAGGTCCAGAGTACTTCATGGATGCCTCATCCGCCATACGTTATGCAACCAACAGTAAGTGTTCTCAGTCACCTGAGGCTCGATGTTTCTATTATCTGAGTGCAAGCTTGTGTAACGTGGAGAAGCTCTGGGGAAAAGCTTTTGTTCTATTCCATGCCTCTTCCTGGCAGCCCTATTTTCCAGATAGAAAAGTGTTCCTGAAATGCTACAAAAGCGTGTACAATAGACAGAGATAGTGACAGTGATAGAAAGAGCTGAGAGAGGAAGAGAGAGGGAAGGAGGGAGAGAATCAACTTGATTGGAGGAAAGAGCAGTCAACCTCTCACATTGCTGTCTACCATTTGTGATGAGGAGGGAAAGTCTGCGTGCAGTGCGGTGTGCTCTGGACAGTTAAACCCACTGTGGGAAGAAAGCCTTTCTGTCGTCCTTCTCCTTCTGTTACGCTTTCTTTTCTTTGGGTGCTTTGGGAGTGTTTTTGTGAATCATGGCTCAGTGTTGACTCAAAGCAACATATTTGAAATAGGAAGGTATCCATCTACAAATAGGTGCGGCTAGATAGTAGATAGTAAGGTCAGTAGATGACTTTTATGTTAACTGACCAGAGTCATTCTCTTCTTTAGTGGAAAATGTCTTCCCCAAATATTCAAACTATGTTCTACTAGCTAGTTTTTTCCATATTGTGGTACAATATGACACTAGTCCCAAAGGAAAAATATTATGTTCCATTAGAATACAGGCTGAAGGCTAGTGATTCCGTGTATCTTTGTCAAGTTCTTGCATGTTTTCTAGCTCTTGAAAAGAACAGGACAGGATGATTTCTAGAACGATACACTCATGAGAGTTTGGAGAAGGGGAAAGGTCCCCAGTGGGAAGTTGTGTGACAGGGTCTCTGGTGTACTCTCCTGGGTCTGTTCAAATTGTTAACTTTGTTTCCTCTCTGTCACTGAACTTAACATGGCTTTGGGGAGGATCAAAGCCAAGAGAATATATGAAAACAATGTTTAAAGTATGGCATGCTATACCTTATTATGGTCATCAATCCTTATTAGTGAATGTATCAGTTGTACAAAGAAGAAGCAATGCTACATTTTAACTCTTTTCAAAGATAAATATAAATAAAGTCCTGCATATCAAAAACAGGGAGTTACATACACAGCCATCCATTTCCTGGACTCAAAGGATCACAGCACCTGGCTTTCATAATTGAGGTTTGTCCAGTTTTTTATAAAAAGGAGCATTCCACGTTGCTCCTAGTGTTTTGATAGTTTGCTTTGTAATTTAAAAATAAAGTATATGTAGCTTTTGACAGCAGATCTTTAGACCCTGTTTTGCAAATCTCCCTGTTTACTCTTAGTTGTCTACTTTGAGGGCTTCGTGAGTTCATCTGGTATGTGTTGTGGAAATCAGACCGACAGGCAAGGAATCCAGGCTGTTCTTTTCTGTCCAAGTCATCAGGTGGAATCCAATAGATGCTGCCAGACCAGCATACAGCACAGACTGGGCCAACACAGGAAGAGGGAAGAAGCCTTGCCAAGTTCTGAAGGGACTTTCTAGAAGGAAGCAACTACCTTCTAAGGAAATACTGTGTGTGTGTTTAGAGAGTGCGGAGGCTGGCTTGGTCGTCATGCTGAGGTCAAGCATCATCTCATTGAGACCTAAAGGAATGCACATCTGGCAACATCTGAATTTTTTTTCAGATACCAAAAGTGTGTGATTCCACAATACTTGGGAAGCTGTGAGGAGAAGGGAAGATTTTGTGTTTTATTTCAACTGTCTTCAGGGCCCTAGCAAAGTGTTTCCTGAACACCTCCTCCTCCCTATCCCAGCTTCCAGCTTCACCCATTTGGGGATGTATTATTTCTAGTGCCTTTCCCCCTAGCAACAGTTGTGTGTGTGTGTGTGTGTGTGTGTGTGTGTGTGTTCATTTGTCCCTATGAGATCTTCTTGCCATGGCTATTGCTCCCTAATATCGCTTCCCCTGACTAGACTCTGCGTGATGTTTGAGCTTAGGTCACCCTGTTTGAGACAGCAGTCCCCAACCTTTTGGCACCAGGGACTGGTTTTGTGGAAGATAATCTTTCCATGAACCAGTGGGGCAGGGGGTGGTTTCAGGATGATTCAAGTGCGTTACATTTATTGTGCACTTTATTTCTATTATTATTACATCAATTCCATTTCAGATCATCAGGCATTAGATCCTGGAGGTTAGGGACCCTGGTTTAAGATGTAACACTTGTGCCTGGGACGGATTTCCTAGGAACAGGAGTGGATGGGCCACCCACCACTTTGTTGTTTGGAAACATTGGCTAAGTAGCACTTTGGAAACATTGCTTGCACCATCAGTTGTTTCCTTATAAGTTTTGTTGGTTGTTTTACTATATGAAGAACCTTGATGCAACTGGTCTTGGTTTTATCACCAGAATGGGATTGTTTAATTGCTCTGTAATGTTAATTGCTCTGTAATACTAAAACATAAAAATATGTAGGTGAGGATCTTGGGCAAAGAAATAAAACCACCTGGGTGTGAAGAGAAGGAATGAATGAGTTGGTGATTAATACCATGGATTCTTGGTTAGACTCTTTGGGAGAGGAAATCCTTTCTGACATAGGATTTTGGGGCAGTTAAACTTCCTGAGCCACAATTTTCTCATCTGTAATATGGACATAATCACAACTAAATTACTATGCTTTCAGTTGATTAAATGAAGTAAAGCTTTAAAGCTCTTAAAACAGCACCCGACAAATATCAAACACTCAATAAATTACTGTTATCATTACTCAGTTATATGAGTAGATGACCGCAAATCCTGCTTTAGCCTAGGCCAATTGTATAAAATGAGTGTTGGTACAGGAAGAACTCGAAAAAAAGCAATAATCAGTCATGTCTACCACATTTATCCTGCTCATTTTGCACACTTTAGTAATGAGTTTGGTGAAGGTAGCCTCTGTGGCTATAAATAAGATGAATCGCTTAGATCGGTGTTTCTCTGATTTACTTGCTGAATCTTTCAACACCTATAATAAAAATAAATACAAGTAATGAAAATAAAAATTAAAGGCCTACTGGGTTACCTCTTGTGTGGCAGTCACTGGAACCTACTTTACAGCTATTCAAGGTGTGAATAGCTACACATGTACTGTAGGTTGCCCATAATCATTTGTTTGCAACTTTTCTCCTTTCTCATGGATTTTCCTCCACAGTTTTGAGAAACTCTCACAGATAAGGCCTCTGTACACAGGGTAGAGACGTGCTCCCCCCCTCGTGGTGAAGCTCACGGACTCCTACACTGTAGCAAGTGTCCTGCAGGTTCTTTGTAGGCTTGACTCGACGGCCCCACGCTCTCAGCCAGGCTTGTATCTGAAGCCAGCGCTTCAGTCAAGTCTTAGCACAGAGCACGCTGCCTCTGGTCTTTTCCTTCCTGGGACGGGTAATGATCTGTAAGGGAGATGTGAATTGATGGACAGAAGGGATGAGAGACTGACAGAAATCCTGAGTGTAAAGCTACAGCTGGCTTAGGCTTTCTTCTTCAGAGACTGAAATTTCTGAGTCATGTGCAGTGTACCTTTTCGTAACTTTAGAAGAAAGACTCTGAGAAGCTTTTCACTTTTAAGGAAAAGGGGCTAAAAGTTTCCTTGCCTGGATCCTATCTCTCATACTGGTGTTTCTGCAAGGAAACCATTCTCTGTCTGTGTGTTGGACTCTGGGACTTGATCGAGTCAAATCCTGCTGATGGCAGTGAGAGCATTTTTACTTGCACTTTATTTCTCGTTCACTGCAAGATAACACTGCGAGACTAAATCAGGAACACACTCTTTGCTGACGTTGCCAATGCCGTCAGGTACGTGTTGCTTATTGCCAGTGGAGGGTTTCTTTCCTAAACTCTGAAATTTCGCTATGACACTGGCAGGATTTTAATAGGTGATGGATTGAACTAGATATCTACTTTGCTTGGCAGCTTGTCACACTGGAATCTTCTATGAATGCACAATTGAAATCCCCATGTTGCGATACATCGGGTATTTTGTTAAATCTGTGCTGACAGGGAGAAAAGATGATAGCTCCCAAGAAGAAGCAGAGTTCAGTTCTCTTAAATTTTATTTAGGCCTGTGTGAATCATACATCTTCTGTCCTTCATGTGTTTAGCATTATTTATCCTCAAGGATAAAGGTCCGTTTTCATTTTTACCTAATTACAAACAGGATATCTAACTGCTGGGTTTCCCTGATCGCTCAGGCAGTCATGAATCTACCTTGTGGTACAGGAGACCCAGGTTCAGTCCCTGGATTGGGAAGATCTCCTGGAGAAGCAAGGGATACCCACTCCAGTATTCTTGCCTGGAGAATCCATGGACAGAGGAAGCTGGAGGGCTATAGTCCATGGGGTCGCAAAAAGTTGGACATGACTGAGTGACTGTACTAATACTATCCTCTCTAACTACAGGATTCTAAGAAATGCAAGATGCTTTTATGGAACCACTGTGGGATTTGTTGCTATACCTGGCTAAATTATAACACTTCTGATGAATAAACCTTACATTTACAGCTAACGTGTCAATATAAACTTTCCCTCTAGAACAACAACAATAAAAAGTTCAAGAAAGCTCCAAGAATATTTCATTGGTAACTGGTGATTAGGTAAGGCTTAATTTTAAGGGCTGTATCCTCCAAACTTGCAGACACATTTCCCCTAAAAGCACATCATCAAGTTTGGAAAGGACATTGAAATCATTAGCATTCTGTTCAGAAAGCAGTGTTTTCAGATACTATCTTTTTATTCCAACTGCTGAGCTGAGCAAAAATTCTAACCTTCTGAGTTTCATTGTCAAAGTACCAAACAAAGACAAAATGTGTTTGCTGTGGAGGGACTTTACCTGGGGGATCTACTGGCCAAATCTTTTAAAATAACTAGCAAACACAAAGCAGGGACTTTAGCCCATGTACACCATTTCTACCAGAAGAGGATTCAAAAATATTTGAAAATAAATTTAAAAGGAACATCTTCATATGGGTGTCAGCTCCCTGTAAGTAGATTTCTGGGGTAAAGTAAGGACAGACTCTTGA